CGATCATCATTGTCAGGTTATAATTTTTCGAGTTGCTTAATAATGCAAAAACAATGAGTTGTATTTTTCAGTTAGGCATTTGTTTGTTATGATCAAAGTTTTAGCTTTGTTTCATGATACATTCTTGAGGGCCAGAAATATATATATATATATATTAGTTTGTCGATATGTATAGTCATATAATTTACTGTTTTTGTGTGTTCAATACATTTCATTTGATAATATTTTAACCGTTTAATGAGTTACATTGTATAAACACTAAAAACAAAATAATTTCCATTTAAAAATCAAATTGACATGTCATTAAATAATTTAAGATTGATATCATACTATTTAATCATTGCATATTCAACGTTAGAAATTTGAAAATTATTGATTTATAACAAGGAAATATATATTTTATGGAGCCATCACTGATATATAAAAGCTTTGAGTAATGTCAAATTGTCTAGTTTTCAGTTCTGATTAGATTCCATCGTTTGTACAGGTAATAAAGAATTAGTCCATGTGACCGTTCGGTATGTGGTGATTAGAGGCGCTAGATAGGAATCCTTATTCTAGTTTGCATCTACTGTGAGACCACTCAGTAATCGATGCCTAGATTAAGAACAGAGTACTAGATAAGGATAGTATGTTACATATATCCACTCGCCAACTACCTCGACTAGCGATATTCCAGGTGTAAGAGTAAGTTAGAAGAAAGCCGGGGTAGCCAAGTCAAAACATGTCAACAGTCCATGAAGTCACTGACAACTGAACTGAGCCATGTTAGTATGTGTAGACTATCACGTAACCAGGGTTTTGAGACTGGATGATATGACTCAAAATCATTTGTAGTGCCGAACGTGCATCTATTTTGAGCTTTTGAATTCCTCATTAATTTTCTTGAATTTACTTCACTAATTTATATTTTCTTAAATTTCTACTTCAATCTCTAATATTTTCCGTTGCTACAAACACTATTTTTTCTGTAATACTCTGGGACTTCTCCTGATAATTAAATTTTTCGTGCTAATCTGGTATAGCAACTTGAACCTACCGAATTATGTGTTGTAACTACTACTACGACTACTTTTCGGAAAACAGATTTTCCATAATGTCAAAATCCATAAAAGTGATAGTGATTATTCTGATTCAGAGGTTGTTAACTGACCATTGTCAAGAGTTATATTATTTAGAGATTCTGTTTGAGATACCGATATCATCCATTTATCGATTCGTTCTCTGTGATTAAACATCACTATTCAATAAAATTTAAATATTAAATCGATATTATGACTGATGTCGTAAAATGTGCTTACTAGTGACTAGCTTCGTGAGGAAATTCTCGGAGTTCTAGCCGAGAAGACGTGACCAATGGAGTTCAGCCCTGTCGGGTGTAGACAGTAACTGCCAAAGACAAATGGGTGAGGTCGCGCAAAATCCCTAGATCAATCAGAGTTAGAAATTAACACCGTTGGATGCCGACCCAGTGGTTCAACGGTTAGGCGATCTCACACAATAGTGAAGGTCCCGGGTTCGAATCCTGTGAGTCACAGGAGTCGTGGGTACGCAGTGCTGATGTGCCAGGATGAAACGGCCGTCCAGTGCTTCCAGGTTTCTAATGGTGGTCTGACAATGATGGATTGATGATTTCAAAGATGATTTTCAATAGTTACTAAGCGTAATATCAGAATATCTTTTAGAAATATTGAAACAATTCATTTTAGCATTAATTTTCGTTATGTGAATAATAATAATAATGTGTTTTATTTTATTCATTAGAAAGCCCAGTCCTTCTTTCCGAAAATAATCAACAGTAATTGATTGGTGAACCAACTGACGTATAAAGCATTTTGAATCAGTTATAATACTAAAACAAACTATGCAGTGTGTCATCTGAATTTGTGACAAAATATCAAATGTTATATATATATATATAATATTATACATAAATGAAGACCATTAATGCAGAACGACGAATGGATTTTCGCTGATGAATAATGAAAGAAAAAGAACCTTTGGAAAAATAATGCGAGAGTCAATGAATTGGTACTAACTGTCGTACAAAAACACACGAAACTACAATGAAGAAAAAAAAATAAAATAAATGAATTAATAACAAAAACAAAAAAATTATCATGCAAAAAAATGTGAAAATTCTTTAGATCATCATCATCATCAATCAGTTTAGGTGTTTCATTTCTTTCATCTATTTATGTTTATTATTATTTAATTAACTGTTTGTCAATGTCTAAGTCAATTCATGTTTACGTGCATGGATAATTTGTTTTCATAGTTCCGGAAGTTTACATACATATACACACTTACACATTTATATACATATATATGTATATTCTTTCCCATATATCTTTGTGTATTTTATGGCTTTATTGTTAGTAAAATTCAATTATTCTTGTTCAATTTATGTTCAGATGAATGAATAATGAATTTGATATTTTCTTTTTATTAGTTTAACTCCATAGAATTTACTTATCCCCAATGCTAAGAAAATTTTATTGTAACCGAACAAATATTCGCATTGAAATCATCAATTGATCAATGTTAGTCCTAGCATTGGAAAGTTGAATACATTGGGTGGCTGTTTTGTTCATTCTGTTTGTGAGGTCATGAATGAGCACTGTTGATCTGTCTGTCCCATAATCGAATGAAAGAGCCATGCAGCGCTCCCATGTTTCTAATGTTCATCTAACATTGATCGATTCATGATTTCAATGACACTCAACAGTCTCCATAATCCTCTAATGAAAAGCAAATATTATTCAACACTAATATCAAGAAACTTCACATGTATTATCACAATACACTACAACCTAGATAATTGAAATCCTGGTTGGTATAACATTAAAGATGGTAATAATAGAATAGATGAATGATTTATATAGTGATGATTGTCATGTTTATGAATTCCTTATAGTGCGGATGGACGATTATGGTTTTAATATAGTCACCAGAGCAACTGACTCAACACCATGTTCGGTAAATTGAGGTAACAGGTAGTTAGAAGCAGGAGTGCGAAGGTTTCATGCTTTTTATTAGCCTTCAGCAAAGTGCACCTTCAGTCTTGAGAGGACTGCTCCAAGCTTAGGGATTCAAAGTGTTCGAAGGTCATTTGGTACATGAATTGATCAATCAATGTGAAGCAATAAATAAAACATGTCCAACTGTTTTTCCTTTCAATCACATTCAATCAATTAAAATTTAATTAAAATAGACAAGATAAACAATCAATTGTTTTGTTAGTAGACCACACTGACTGAAAGCTTTTGTTACCGAACATAAAGAAAATAAAATTAATTTGAAAATGAAATCAAACTATGCATGAATATAAATTTGAAAATAATACACCAAAAAGCCTGTCCGTCGTATGAAATCGAAAATAACATACAACTAGATTGAGAAAAGAATGAAAACAGAATCATTAAATAATTAGATGATTATATTGAATTTTCGAATACAGTAGCAGCATATGTAAAGCAAAAAGAAAGTCTGTTTAGGTATTCGAACACACCACTCAGTAGCTTCGTCATTGTCAATGACTAATTTAGGCTCTACATTTAAATTACGTAAAATAAATTATCATTGTTCTTTTATGATAACATAATTAGTCGTAGAAAATTGTTGGTCATTTTATTTGATTATATCTTGATTCTGATCAAATTCATTGATATCTGAATAGATATGCATACAGTAAATAAACTGTAGTGTGTTTTATTTGAAAATATGATTTCTATAAAAAAAAATTAACGATTGATTTTAAAAGCCTGTGTCATTTAATCAATTAACTACTCTAACTATTATTGTACTTCTCGTGTAATTTAGCATTGATGCTTTTGCCCGATACACAACTTAAGACTACAATTAGAAAATAAAATATCATTTCACTTTCTCAAAAAAATTAAGATATTATAATGTTCATAAATTAACTGCTGTCAACTTATTAACTAGTAAAGACAATATTCACACTTTTTCTGAGATTCATGTTACGAATATTGGAAAAATGACAAAGGATTTGCAAACCACAGTGATGATATTTATTCCAAGATTACTATTATTTCAGTAGTTAACCACTAAACTTTTTATAATACTTTTGTGGTCATTCCGTATCGTTATTCAGTTTGGAATAATTTTTATAAATGGAACCTAACCTATGTCAATAATTAACAATGGTTTTCCAACTGTTGTTTTCATAAGAACGAGTGTGTTGAACTGATCAAGTTTTATAAAAAATCTTTATAACAATAGAATCATTACGTCAATGCCAAAAATGTCTAAAATATTTGATATCTAGGTAAGTGAAAATAATTAACTACAAATTAACTGAACAAGCATAATATTTCTCTATGAAGTATAAAATATACTATCAAATAAAAGCTGGACAAAAACATGTATTTGTTTTTAAATGGTCTGATCCAAATGATTTCAATTAGTAACAACACATTTATATATATATATATCATATAACTACAAGTATATTTTATACATTACGAGGAACCAACTACCAATGATTTTTAGGGAAAGTGTGTTTTTCTCAATACACGTTAACAATTCTCCATTTATTTAATTTGTTTCCAGTTAAAGTCTCCAAATCCAAATTAACCAATCAGAAGTTTGAAAATTTTTAGTTGATTGTTCAATATTAATGTATCAATTAGTAAAGGCCGTTTTCTATCTTATTTTTATAATTAAGCAAACAAGAGAACACAAATTGTTTTGATTAGAAAAAAAACAAATAAAGGAGAACGACTTTTTCTATCATTAACATTTATAACACTAGAATGATATGAAGAACAAAACATGTCATGATTATCTATCAGTGTTAGAACTGCTATGTTATTATTTTATTCAATTGCTTTTTGAATAGAAACACAAAAATCATTCTCGTAACAATGCACCAAAAGAAAATACAATACACATATAAAGTCAACTCTTGGACAAAACAAATAGAAATATCAAGTGATTTTTATTGTTAGATATGATATTTATGGATATCATCAGTTGTAATGAATCCAAAACTAGAACCAATAATCATGAATTCTCACTTTGATGCAAATTACGAAATCGATACACCTACTAACTTAACATTAACCAATCAAGCTGAAACGAATTCCGAGTCAAACACTAACTCTCATTCGTATATAACATTAATAAAGAATTCCTCGTTCATAAATAAAGGTTTGAGTTTTGTTGAGAAATTTAAAATGGGATCAATGTTGTCTGAAATGAATGCAACAAATAAACTTCCGGTAAGCGAAGAACACGCACGAGAATTTCCTCATCATCCATCGCCGCAACAACAACAACAACAAGAAGTTACCAAATCTTCAATACTTTCACGGAGTGCTGATTTGCAAACAGGAATACGAGATGTGTCATTTATTGATCATTCAATTTTGAAACAAACTGAATCTTCTTTAAAACATGAAAATAGTGTAAAGAATAAGAAATTGTTTCTTTCAAATGAATCGATCCGAGATAATGAGGCAATGCGGTCAATGAGAAAAAAATGTTCACCATCGAAAACAGTGCGCAGACCACATTCCGGTGATAAAATGAATATTATTTCTCATTCGAAAACTATACATGGTTGTAGAGATATTGCACAGATAAGTCTTGAGGCTGCACCGAAATCAACCATTTCGTCATCATCCATAAATGATGTATCACGAGTGACTCCAAAATCAATGAACAAAATTAAGTCAGGGATTAGCAACGTCAGCAATTGTCAATATGACAACTGTCCAATCCTTAGGGATAATGATCATCCGTATGGACGATTTCATGACGATTTTATGGAGAGCAGTAAAAGACAGCAATATGATGCTTTAAATGAGAATACTAATCTTAAAATACCTACAGTAAGAAGTATTGTTTCAACTACACCTTCTCATGAAGTATATTATAGTCAGCATGATAATCCATATTCGAAATATCGGAATAATGTCGATGAATTTAATCACTTATCAAGATCTTGTAATTCTGTGTTATATCATTCACCAAGACAGGGAAACTATTATAAAATGACAGATGCAGAACGAAGTAATAAACTACTTGATGAGTTACACAGATTATATATTCAATTAAAAGAAGTAGAGAATCAAATTACTGAACGCGACTCTTATATACGTTATTTACAGAGTATTTTATTCAGACGTGATCAACTAATTCAACAGCTTATAAAACAAATTCCTGAATCATATATTCCAGAAGAATACTATGAATCAATTAATGAATTAGAAGGATACACAAAAGCATTTCCTCCTGAATGTCATAAAGCAACATTACAAATGTATCGTAAAGGTGTAAAACATTATGATAAATCGAATGTACTAAGTCAAAATGCATCAAAAAGATGGAATCAGGAACAAGTAGCCAATTATAAGAATAATAGAACCTCATATCTTAAGGCCAACTTGTCTGGATTTACTGAGCGGCATGGAAATGGTCCTGGAGAAGTTAGTCAAACAACTGATGCCAAATTAATAACACCTAACACAGTTAATACTACTAACAATAGTCCAATTATTAATAGTAATTCTCATAATAAATGTGATCTACCATTTAGTAAATTGCAGTATTCTAAATCAGGTACACTTATTAATTTAAACAATACGGAAGAATACAATGCAGGAGATGTTACTGATAGTAAAATAACAGATGATAACAAAACACCGGTGATTGGAATGAATTTACAAATTATATCCAAATCACGTGTAAAACGTTATGCTATATCTGGTGAATCAGAGAAATATCTTCCACCTCCAACAAGTCATTTATCAAACTGGCCTAAAATTGAGAAGCCAGCACAGTAAGTATTACGTTCATATATATATATATATATATATATATATATAGTGTGCAAATTATTCACATAAACTGTAGTAAGTATGAAAATAATTTATCGAAGAATACAATTGTAAACCATTACTAGATTGTTCATTCAAGAACTGACACTCCAGGAACATATTTTTACTGAAATATAAGAAATGAACAGATATCAGTTAAAGTTTGACAACTTTGATCAGTAGTTTTATAACCTTGTCGATCAATAGTTGCTGTTATTCCGGACTAATGTAGGCTATTCTATTATTGTTCCCTATCCACTCACTCTTTGCAAGCCGTGAATGCAGATAAAAATTTCGTCATCTTTCACATACTTTATAATGGAACATAGAAACTTCGGTTCTAATTGCTAATGTACAACTTTATGAAGTGTGCTCTGCAATAGCCTAGTTGAAATCCCGGCATAAAATTTAAATTGCGCTCAATTAGATTTATTTGCCTATGTTTAAGTATCAAAAATGCAAACATGAATTATTCAGTAGATCAAGTGACTAGCCAATAAAAGCGAACAAATTTATGTACATCTATCGATATAAAAGGACGTACTCGTACAGTAAACTGTTATGTAGTCGTCGACTTAAAATAACAGCTAAAGAATAAACTATTCATAATTAGGAAAACAAAAACATTGTTTGAAATGGATAAAACGATAATTGAAATAGAAAGAAAACCTAGTCACAATGGATTATGCAAGTTTTAAAGAATGAATAAAATGTTATAATTCATATTTCTATTGTTATTTTCAATCTACATAAAGGTCGACAAGAATAAAAATACTTCATATTAAATTCTTCGATTATTTTCATTTTGGCTGGTTCAAACTGTAACATTATTTAGGGAAATTCATTCTCTAATTTTTCTTATTCATTATGTACACTATCATTTTGTGTCACTAATATTTACATAGACAAACATGTAGAGTAAGGAAAGATTTTTCTTCAACTAAATTCTTATTATGGCACAACATATACATATGATTCACAATGACAAAATAATACAAACCGAGTAGTAGTGTTTTTTAATACGATTCCGCCATAAAGCCAGGTATACAGAGTGTACAGTGCGACAAGTCCCTTATCGTATAACTGTGTACCATCCGGCATCGTTGACCAAACAACAGTTAGGATTGATTAATAGTGATATTATCTCTTACTTAAATGACGCTAGAAATTATATTGATTTGAATTAGGTTTTCACAGCTTTCCCTTGCATTCCACCAAATTCAACGCGTGTTATATAGTTTGTTTTGTTAGATAATATGAAAGTTACGAGGATCCTATACTTCGTATTTAATAAAAGTATACACAGTCTTTCTCGACTAACTTGGTCATTTATAAAGCGCATATCTTGATAGCTCGTAAAAAATTTTTCAATCACCTTACTTTCTAATAATGTTTCTGAATTTATTTTAATAATTGTTCTCTAAAACCCCTAATGTTTTCCGCATTATTCTTATATAACTGTCAGTAAGTTAACCCTTAATCAAAATGCTTTTTTCTAAACTGTCTTATTATACACTATACAGGATCTGTTAACCTCTGATGTGCATATTTTCAATGTTTTTGCATGTAATTACTCTTTAAATTTACTTTATGCTACATATTTCAATCATTTAGTCAATCATACGTCAGTATATCCAGTAGTAACTTGAGGACTAAAAATATGATATAACAAATATATATATATATATATATATATATATATATATATAAAGGTGTAAATTTAAGATGAAGCATTAGTTGAAAAAAATATTTTAACACAGTGGATCAAAATGTTCATTTACTACACAAAGTATGAATCGATTACACTGGTACTTGAGTTGAAAAACGTAAATTTTGTCAAAAAGATCACAAAATGTGTACTTCTGCTCTCCATTTGTTTGATCTTGTGCATTAAACCCATACCTGCAGATCAATCTGCGTATGACTATAGAGTGACAACTTCAGCTGTTAAATTAGAAAAGTGGCGATGATTCATAAAATCTTAGCTGTCTTCTCCGTTCCTTCAGTATTCTTATCAAGATCAAATAATGAGGTAATTAGTTTCAACTGTTGAGAAAATGTGTAATTCAGCAATAGGTTCTTGCAGAAATTCGAGATAAGCTTCAGTATTCAGGCTTAGTGAGTAGTTAGTGTGAAATCTTAAGAGACATACTGTAGTAAACAAATGCGAAACATAATTTTTAATTTTGGATAATTTTAAAAAGCTTACAGTGTCATGAAAAACTGATTTAAATAATAAAAAGTCCTAGAAATTCTTGTTAACTCTCTATCATAGTTACATTATAAAAAGTAAACAGTTATTTCAAAGACGAATGCACACATGAACATGAATTCTGTTAATTTAACTCTTAATTCCGAGAGTAGATGGATGAAAATTTATTGACCACAATGTTTTCGGTTTATTTTTGTTAACAAATCCAATTTATGAAGTAGTTTCTATGACTAACCTGTGATAGGAGAAATCTGGTTTGTAGTCATAAATATTCAACTTTGACTTGCTTTGATTTGCACACTTGTTTTAAACCACAATAGATTCACTTCCTTTTTAAGATTTCAGTTAGTTGTCGAATTATTTCGAAAGTGAAATTATTTTATTTTTGCTTAGTAAAATATATATAATATCAGTGTTACTGTAATCTACTACAGGATGCATTGTATTTTTTCGAATAGATCAGAAAATATTCTTCTAGTTGTCAAGACAACAGATTAATCATGAATTAGATATTGGGAATTTTTTCCATTTTGATACCAGAAAAAGCCTCATGTAATTAATTACATTACCTATTTAGCTCTTGTTCATTTCCAGCGGTTCACTAGGCTGATTTCAACTGACAATAAAACAAATTTGATCATTTTCCTAAGAATCATATGAAAATAAAGATAGCTGAAAGCTAGTTATTAGTCTAAATTCTATTCGAATCATAATATCCTAGTAAGATGGACTTTGATATTATATGTATTTACTGGTTAGTTGTTCAATTTGCCAACATATTGTGTAAATATGTTGTTAAATGACGCTTTTATTTATTATACCGTTTTTTTTAATACTTCTGTTATTATTGAGAATACAATAAAAGTAATGAGATTTCAACTTCAATTAGGTTTAATTTTTAATTCAAGTCTATGGATAGTAGAAAAGACAAATATATATATATGTATGTATATATATTTTCTGCAAACCATATTTATAGAACAATTTTATGGTTGATTAATCTAAATAATATCTTGAACATTTGGTACACAGTAGTAAATTCATTACTAATTCAAAAAGGTACTAATTATTAAATTAATATAAAATATCATTGTAACATTAGATGTTCATATACTAAATGAACATTTCTTAAATTGCTACAGTACATGATCGATAAGCATATGCATATAGCAATCATTTCAATTAATTTAGAATTGGAAAAATCTGATAGACATTATTTTCTAATCGTAATTAATGTATAATTTAATTTATTTATTGGGATTCGATAACGATATTACAAATTGTGTATGAAAATACTTCAAACACAGTTATTTGTCATGCAGTATCATAAATATTATATAGATACCGTCTAGTGTTGATAATAAATAAGAAAATGATCAATTTTAATCGAATAAAACAGAACGCTCAGTTCTTTTCCATATTGATCATAAAGGGAATTAAACGTTGTAATGTTCAAAATGAATTGTTTAAACTTGAAATTAATGGTTAATATTAAATAATTTAAAATTATTTTTATGATACAAACCACAGAAAGTAAGAAAAAATATAATAGATTTACACCATAGAAAAAATTTTTAAATTTATATCACAAACAAACAATCTGATATACCGATTATTTAGATAAAAAAACATTATCTCCCAAATAAAAGCGATTTAATATGAATGTAACATTTCTCACTGTATTCATTCGTCGGTATACCAATGAAGAATATTCTTTCTGATAAGTTCTTTTCAGGTTTTACAATTATATGCATCCAAATTAATTCAGGTGTAAGGAATTATACATCAGTTAAAGTTATCGAGCGTGAATTTAGGCTGGTTTGTAAAATTATGGAAGTTTACTGAAGTCGAAGTGATTAGTATGCAATGTTAACTTGAATAAGTTTTTACACAAAGGATTAACATAAATACTACTACTACTAATAATAATATATTCCTGACATATCAGGTACATGCCATTTTTATAAGCAAGATCAATGGGATACAATGAAATTTCTAATAAATGTTCACAGATAGGTCAGGTACTTAGAAGAGTTGTTAGGCGATAAGAATAAATCAAAAGTAATTCACAAGATAGTGTCTAAGGGTATTCATCTGCAGGGTATTTATATGATGAAATAAGTTAGTAAGCTCATAGTTGTTCAAAAGTGTTGATTGGAAGGCGTTCGGTAAGGGCTATGAATTTGACGAACTCTTATGATGTGTATTTGGAGTGAGAAGAAGCTCCATAGTTGTTCACTGGGAATAATGCACCGAAAAGAAGTAGAAGAGAAAATAAAAGCATCGAGACAATTTGATATATGACCACAATAATGTTTAGCCATGAAACAGCTAGTTGTGTAATCTTAAATCGTATCAGATGTTCGGTTTGCAGATAAATGAATTCGGCATGAAATAAACCGAGGTCAGTGGTAATTAAATTACTCATGTATTTTGAGGATAATTATTGGTTTTAAAACAATTATAATGTGTTATATATACGAATAAACATAACAAAAACGATAACATTTAAACATTATAAATCAACCATTACAATCTTAACAGTTTTATTTCACTTTACAAACAATCCCAAATTCACATGCGATAATTTTAAATGATGTATCTTTCTTTAAACATGGTATCTTAAGGATTTTTGATTTGGATATTTGTTTGTAGGCTCTGAAGAGAATTTATTGAAAAGAATATTTTTGTGTGCACATATCTGTTGTATTGTAGTATGATTAGAATTGACCGACAATGATGTATTTTTCT